GGGCGGCAAGGACGGAGGAGGGGAGCGAGAGAGGTGCGAGGTGGTGAAAAAACACATTTCAGCCGGGAAGAAAATGATTCACCAGGGTGATGTGGCACATAGCAAGCAAGCTCAGAGGGGGCTCAAGGGCTGGAGGGGACCAGGAGGTCCCACCTGCTAGGAGGGATGCGCCTCGAGCCTGCAAAACCACTCACTAGCCCCCACAGCGTGAGAGCCACGGCCATGCAGTCAGCTGCGGCAAATCGGATAGGGCAGGCAAATTTCACAGGGTAAAAGCGGTGGTACTTGGTGCCACAAGAGACTGGAGGCTGGTAGGATTAAGCTGGGCTAAAGGGTCTAGAGTGACCCCTGAAAAAGCCTCCCAAAGAGGCACTGAAGGGAATAGGGGTGTCAGAGACTGCCCTAACCCAGCGGCACAGGGTGACAGGGCTCACAGCACAGCCAGGCTCACATGCTCTCTAGCAGCTGCCTCTCCTCCTGCCTGTGCTGCCAGGCCCTGCTGGGCTTGGCAGATGCTGGGCCAGCCTGGGATGGCATTTCTTACACCCTATCCCCAGGATAAAGATTCTGAATGGCATCGACTTTCTCTGTGATAGCTGAGCCTTGGTGACCTGATTCATTTCTGTCTGTCTCCACAAACCCCTGAGTTTAGCCAACTTACTGAGTTTTATCACCAACTGTAGCCAAGTTTAGTACCTGAGCAGCAAGAAACAAAACATGTGTGGTGGGCCATTCTCCCACTGGCCTAAGCTCCCAAACTGTAGTGCACATAAAGCTGATTACAGCATGCAAACTCTATACATTTCCATAGCCGAAACCGATTTGACCCAAATTCAGCTTGCATAATGGTTAGTAATTAGAGTGATGGAGTCTAGCTCCACTAAGCAAAAGCAGAAAGTGTGAAGGCTATACCCACAGTTGCATGAAGCCCTTCCCCTCTCTGAAGCCTGAGTTCCCTTCTCCCCCTCTGCTCCAGCTGGAGGGAGAAGACCTAGTGTGACAAGAAGCATTGTATCAGGGTAGCACTGGCCTGATTATGTGTAGGTTGCCCTGGAAGCGCCTTGAAAGTCTCATCTGGAGTTCCTCAACTGGTTAGTACCAGTATAACTACAAAATAACCATCCTGCTTCCACTGTTACCTTATACCCTGTCACTGGCACAGGCATACACAATCACTCAGGGAACTGAGCTGGTGAAAAGTCAAAGCACTGGTTTTGTTGTCTAAACTGCAACCCCATGCAGCTCGCAGACCCAGCACGGGCTGCACGACTCACAAAGGGGAAGGTGGTTGTGGGTCCAGCAGCAAAGGCAGCACAGCAGAAGCACGCGGGTGCGTGCCGTGCACCGCCACAGACCTGCCTGCTCTGCGAGGGTCCCAGTCTGACACAGGTTCAAAGTACCAGCCTTTCGCCCCACATAGCCACCTGTGCCACGGCAGGCCAGGAGAGATGTTCGGGGAGGGGCTCATCTAGAGACCTGACAGGAGCAGCAGGTGACAGTACGCGACCTGCACCGAACACAGGCGACACCGCCAGCTCGGCCTGGCGCGGACGGCACTGCCGGGCGCAGCGCTCTCCGGTGGCAGTCCCTCCCCCGCACGCACCAGGAGGGCTCTGACGGCTCCAGGAGCCCTTCAGAAGGGTTTGACGCGCGGCCGCGGCGCAGAGCGGCAGGTGGCAGCGGCCGGGCCCGGCGCTCCCCTCTCCCGCTGCTCTGCGAGGAGGATCATGGCCGAACCCCGCCCACACACGCTGCCT